AGTAAATATCTTCTTATATTAAGGAAATAATTTATTCCTCGTAACTTCTTATAGGAATAAATTATTTCCTATTATAATTCTTAACAGATGCTTTACATATATATGGTAAAGAATGGAAAAGGTGAATCTGCTAATGACCTTAGGTAAGTTTAATTGGGCTTGTTCTTGTTACAATTGATATCTTCGTCTCAGCTACTCCCCTCCCCAATACTTAGGGCCTGTTTGGAGCTGTTTTTTTTCACGCGGCGCGGCCCTAAACAACGAACATTTCGCGTTTGGCTCCCAGCTTCGCGATCGCACGATGCTAAAGCGGGCCACGGGATCGACCCTATGGCCCCAGCTTTTGCCTCACTAATAGTCCAATTTGCCCCTGTTTTGGCTCAAAGAAGCCCTCTGTCCTAGCGCTCTTCCTGTTGTTCCTGCACCGTCTCGCCATCTTGCCTGGTGTTCTCGGCCCCGCGATTTCTTCTTCCTCGACCAAGAACGGATCCAGGAAGCACGAGGTAGGTAATCCTAAACCCATCTTCTTCCCTTGTTTTCGAGCTCTCTTCGCCGCTGCTTTGTATCCGGGTAATCGTAAAATGCTTGATCCGTGAGTGGCTCCTCCTCATGAAAGGCAGCTTGATCCGTAAGCTTGAGCTTGGGAGGCACAAATGAACTCCAATAATAGAAAAAATAATAAAAAGAAAATGATATGAAAGAAAAAATATATCACCTGATATCTCCAATAATTAATTCATCTTAATTATTATGAGATATATGCAATAACATAAAATAGGAAAACAAATGATTCTTAATCCAAGGAAATATATATAAAATAGGAAAGTAAATATCTTCTTATATTAAGGAAATAATTTATTCCTCGTAACTTCTTATAGGAATAAATTATTTCCTATTATAATTCTTAACAGATGCTTTACATATATATGGTAAAGAATGGAAAAGGTGAATCTGCTAATGACCTTAGGTAAGTTTAATTGGGCTTGTTCTTGTTACAATTGATATCTTCGTCTCAGCTACTCCCCTCCCCAATACTTAGGGCCTGTTTGGAGCTGTTTTTTTTCACGCGGCGCGGCCCTAAACAACGAACATTTCGCGTTTGGCTCCCAGCTTCGCGATCGCACGATGCTAAAGCGGGCCACGGGATCGACCCTGTGGCCCCAGCTTTTGCCTCACTAATATTTCAATTTGCCCCTGTTCTGGCTCAAAGAAGCCCTCTGTCCTAGCGCTCTTCCTGTTGTTCCTGCACCGTCTCGCCACCTTGCATGGTGTTCCCGACCCCGCGCTTTCTTCTTCCTCGACCAGGAACGGATCCAGGAAGCACGAGGTAGATAATTCTAAACCCATCTTCTTCCCTTGTTTTCGAGCTCTCTTCGCCGCTGCTTCGTATCCGGGTAATCGTAAAATGCTTGATCCGTGAGTGGCTCCTCCTCATGAAAGGCAGCTTGATCCGTGAGCTTGGGAGGCACAAATGAACTCCAATAATAGAAAAAATAATAAAAAGAAAATGATATGAAAGAAAAAATATATCACCTGATATCTCCAATAATTAATTCATCTTAATTATTATGAGATATATGCAATAACATAAAATAGGAAAACAAATGATTCTTAATCCAAGGAAATATATATAAAATAGGAAAGTAAATATCTTCTTATATTAAGGAAATAATTTATTCCTCGTAACTTCTTATAGGAATAAATTATTTCCTATTATAATTCTTAACAGATGCTTTACATATATATGGTAAAGAATGGAAAAGGTGAATCTGCTAATGACCTTAGGTAAGTTTAATTGGGCTTGTTCTTGTTACAATTGATATCTTCGTCTCAGCTACTCCCCTCCCCAATACTTAGGGCCTGTTTGGAGCTGTTTTTTTTCACGCGGCGCGGCCCTAAACAACGAACATTTCGCGTTTGGCTCCCAGCTTCGCGATCGCACGATGCTAAAGCGGGCCACGGGATCGACCCTATGGCCCCAGCTTTTGCCTCACTAATAGTCCAATTTGCCCCTGTTTTGGCTCAAAGAAGCCCTCTGTCCTAGCGCTCTTCCTGTTGTTCCTGCACCGTCTCGCCATCTTGCCTGGTGTTCTCGGCCCCGCGATTTCTTCTTCCTCGACCAAGAACGGATCCAGGAAGCACGAGGTAGGTAATCCTAAACCCATCTTCTTCCCTTGTTTTCGAGCTCTCTTCGCCGCTGCTTTGTATCCGGGTAATCGTAAAATGCTTGATCCGTGAGTGGCTCCTCCTCATGAAAGGCAGCTTGATCCGTAAGCTTGTGAGGCACGAATGAACTCCTCATGAAAGGTGGCTGTGAATTCGTGCCTCATAAGCTCCGTGAGTGGCTCCTCCTAATGAAAGGTAGCTGCGAAAGAGGAAAAATGGGGCCATATTCGTACACTCTATCTTCTTCGGCTTTCATGTTCTGTTCATCATGGAGAGTAAGTTTGCTCCCTGAATTAACTGTTGGATTTAAATTCAAAGAAGATATTATGTATTATAATTCCTTTAATTATTGGTTGCTGCAAGGCTGGTCTTCCCTCTGAAGCCTTGAAGCTACACAATATAATTATTGATAGAGGGTTCATAACAGACAATTACAGTTATGTTGGATTGCTGAGCAGTCTGTGCACGTTAGGAAGAATTGAACTTGCTGTTTTTGCCTATGATGAAATTCTTATGAGTAATCCTAATGTTGATGCATATGTCCACTCAAGAATCCTAGACGAACTTGTTAAGAATCGACAATATCAAAAAGCCATTAGGTTTTTCCGTAAATCTATTTCTGAGAATCATTGCATTGATGTTGTTTCTTATACCATAACTATTTATGCACTTTTTAAGTGCGGTAGGTTTGAAGAAGCTAAATTTTGTTTGAATAAATGAAGCATTTTGGTCCAAACCACAATATTTATTCATACAATGTGATGCTTTGTGGCTTCTGTAATGGCCGAGATTGGGTTGGAACAAAGGAGCCAGTGAAGGACATGATGGTCGCGGGGATTGAGATGGATTGCATTTCGGTGAATGCTATTGCTCATCTGTGAATTAAATTTGGTCGTATTGATTCTGCCCTTTTTATGTTGAGGAATTTGCATTTTCATGGAATGAGCTCTTTGAAAAAGACATTTGAGTATCATCATTAGTACATCTCTTTTTGGCCAACATTATTAATTCTAATTTGCCGACCCTTTTTATGGACTCTCACATGATTGTTAAGGAGAAAGTTCTGGTTTTTTTTATGTTGTCAATGTTTGATCGGACAGTTTAATATGTTTTAACTTTTTTAGCAATGCATTATGAAATGATATTTGCACAACTTTTGATTTATTTTTAAACGATACCGCTTTACTGGTAAATGGATTTATTTCTTATGTGATACGAAATTTGTGGGTGGTAAAAATTGTTAAAACAAAAGTTTGATTATATTGACTGGTTAGAGCGATTTTATTGATATAAGGCTGCAATGCATGGATGAATTGTTCAGTATTTTACATGCGACCATTGCTGCCATTCCTGTACTGGTAAAGTTATGCCTATGTTTCCTTTCGGTATGCAAAATGCAAGGCAATGTACTATTTCTTTTCATACCAACCAAGGTGGGGTTTTTAGTTAAGATTTGTTGTGCCAGGCAGAAATGATTTGTTGTACTAATCCTTTTCATACTAACAATATTTGGTTGTTCTTTTTTCTACTGGCTCAAGGATTTTCGGGATATCCTGATGGCTGCTCTGCCACTGTGGCCTCCAAATTTCCCTGTTGACGTCACGGTGGTCACACAACTATAAGAGAAAGTTTTATAGCAGCACACAAAGCATCACAGAACAGTGTAATTTCTTCCGTTGGGCAGGCGGTGGGGGAATTGCAGAAGTTTACTTTTTACATGTTTAGCTCATAAAGTAACCGGCATGCATGTCCGCTATTCATGGATTGAATTCACATTAGTATTGCAAATGAGAACATAGTTTATGATGTCTTGCCTTCTATAATTAATGAAACTTCTCAAATATAATACATTAATGCTTGTTTCTTAAAAATGTGCTTACATATTTTGAGTTGTTCATATAAAGTATGATTTACTTCTGTTAATAGAGCATGAGTTGAAGGAGAAATATCATGAACAAAAGATGTAATGAATCCAAAAACATCTATTGGAAAGATAATTTACGAAATTTTGGCTATTGTTTCATGAATTATGATTTTTTTCCTTTTTCTTTATCACTTTTTGTACTCATTGTTAAGTTAGTTGGGGATCAGACTCTTTGAGCTGTTTCAGAGTAAAATTCTGCTTCAGAAGTATCAAAAATATCGTTGTCACAGTTCTGTTTTAAACAGTTTTACAAAAAATGGGTAACATAGTCATTTTTTCAGAAACAACTACCCCACAGCTGCACTAAACATATAGCCAGCTTCTCCAAAGCAGCTTCTTAGGGCAGCACAGCTGCAGCTGCACCAAACAAAGCCTTAGTTCATGTATCTCTTCCTGAGGCTCTTCTCAATCCTTTCCCCCTCGACAAAAGGGGTCAAAAAAGGGGATAACAAAATGCAAGCCGTACGATTTAAGACCCTTCCATAATGTCCCCCCACGGGAAGATTGAGATGTGGATGTGAGGCCGCTCTTAGTTGCACACCGACGCTTGTCAATCCTTGTGTAACGTCTTTCATGTTTGACGGTTTTTAAACCTCGTGGGGCAATTATGGAGAGCTCAACATACCACTTTGGAATGGGAGCACGTCGATCGTATCGTATCGACAAGTGAGGCCGGCAAGGGAAGATGACCAAGTTTTGCCCTAAAAACAAAAGGTCAAGCCTTTCAAGCCCACAAAATAGCTAACATATGCTTCGACATGTACAAACCACTTATAAGCATGCAAATTTGTAAATACAAGGAATTGAGTGCTAAATATCTAAATGCCCCTCAATATAGTTTATTTTTCATATTTTACCATTACTTTAATGATAATTAGTTTAACTAAATAATCTCTAAATATCCCTAAACTCTGGTTAATGTGTCAGCGCTTGCTGCATGTCCCGTTCACACTTACTGTCCCTCCGCATTCTTCTCTTCTTCCTCCATCCAGGCCTCAATACAAATACCCTCTTCGAACTTCTTACAAATCAAAATTCGCTTTCTTTTATTCTATACAGATACACAGAATTGAGTTGTAGAATGAAGGAAATGCTGGCACCCCTCCCTGTTCCCGTCTGTGCTGTCCCCCAGTTTTCCTCAGATAAAAACTTCCAGATATTTACATAAATATCATACAATTCTTGTTTATCAACATATCTACCTCCTAAACTTTCATATTTATATTTATAACATCTGTGTGTCATAAAGCTATGCATGAAAACATGTATTTTTTGATAGAATGTTAAATATTTAAGTGTCACAAAAAAATATAAAACTTCAGGCATCATCAGATATGTAAATACATAACAATTGTGTGGTATGTTTGTAAATTTCTCAGACTTCTTTTTTATGTGTTTTGCTTATTTGATCATGCAGAGATTTCAATTACATTGGCTTATGAGATTGGGAATGGAAGTAGGGTGGTGGATGATTCATCTATTATTCAGAATCTATCAATGCGGGACTAAGTTGTGGGCTGTATTCGAATCTTACATTATTTCATTAGGGTTGCTAGAAAGCCATCGGAATCCCGCACTGCATATGCAAAACCTAAGACACCTCGCAGTAGTGGTGGACAGCCAGGAGGCGAGCGACAACAAACAGGTCAAAAAGCTGCTGCTTTGGTTGTCCAATATTGGAGTCAAATCTGTGATTTTATATGATATGGAAGGTATAATATTTACATACATAGTGCACAAATCTTATATATTTACATACATAGTGCACAAATCTTATATATTTACATACATAGTGCACAAATCTTATATATTTACATAATAAACATCAAAATCTTAGTTTTTTTTTTTTTTACATTTTACCGCCCAAATCTTTTGGATCACATGTATGGCTGTGAAGTTGGCTCGATGGTAGTTAATTAGGTTAAAATTAGTTTGAATTTTGGCTTGGATTGAGATCACAATGAAATGAACAAGCCAAGCTATAAGCTGAATTTTTTTTTTTTTTTTTTTTTTGGTCTCGATGGTAGTTAATTACGCTTAAATTAGTTTGAATTTTGACTTGGATTGAGATCAGAACGAAATGAACAAGTCAAGCTATGAGCTGAAATTTTAGATTTTTTTTTTCAGCCGTAAATGGATCGGTTCGAACTGATTTGAGATTGGCTCAAAATAAACTTTCTTTTATATAAAAATTATGTATATAATGCTAAGTAATGAGTCAATTTCGAGCATATTTTGGTAGCTGAAATGAATACAAATAACTCAATTTGAGCGAGTTAGTTTCAATTTTAAGCTGGATCAAGCATATTCGGAGTTGAAACAGATCCAAATAACTTAATTTTGAGCCAGCCCGTTACATTTCGAGTCATATCGAGCTCTATTCAATTTTGAGCCTTCTCCAAATCAAATACAATAAGCCACAAACCAATTTCGAACTGACCCGAGCTCGGCTCAAATTCATATCGTTAACAACTCTAATCACATCCAAAATATACCGTCATTACAACTTCTAAAAATTGAAACAACCCTTTTCTTGCATGGCTAGGGTGGCATGCATGTCACAATTAAAGTTAGGTGTTACATACGAAAACGCAAAGTTATGCAAGTAAATCTTCCTAGACTTGTACTGCAAATTCTTTAGAGTAACTCCTTACCATCTCCTCATATAGGTGTTCTAAAGAAAAGCCTTGATGGAGACTGGAGCAGCTTTATCAATGTAAGAAGTAGCAGGTTAAGAAAATACTATATAAATTTTGGAACACTTACTGTATAAAGATGGCTTCAGCTTAATTTACCTGAATTTTGATGTGAAAATGAAGGGCATGACGATAGAACTTCTGTCATTCGCTGACAACAAAGGGGGAATGGCAAAAGCAGCTAATTTTTTATGCTCCAAGTATCAGAAAGAAGAGCTTGAAAGCTGCGAGAAGGATTTCAGAATCACGGATACTGAGATTTCTGATGCTTTAGATGCAGTGGGTGGGTTGCCTGCTTCTGTATGTGTTCATCATCTTTACATACATACCACTCAATTCCTATGTATTTGCATATCTAAATTTCCAATTTTTACATACATACCACCTTACCTAAGCATGAAAAGGTGTATTTCATTTTTTTTTTTTTTTTTCTCTCTTGCAGGATGTGGTGGACCTGAGCCTTTTTTCTTTTTCTCTCTTGCAGGATGTGGTGGACCTGAGCCTGATCTACTTCTTGTCTATGGACCTGTCAGATGCCATTTAGGATTCCCAGCATGGAGAAGCAGCTACGCAGAGATTGTGTGAGCTTTAATTGTTAGGGGCATTTACATACATAGCACCCAATTCTTATATATTTACATATCTAACACCCAATCCTTACATATTTTTACACTTCTACCACTCAAATCTTTCATATGACCTCAAAAGTACCATTATTTTTAACTTTTAAAAGGTGCAATACACCAACTCATGTTATAGGTAGCATCCCATATATGTAAAAATTGAAATTTAGCTGTTGCATATGTAAATATATACAAATTGAGTGGTATGTGTGTAAATCTTCCTAATTGTTATAGTATATACGTACATTTAGCCTTCTTGAGTTTACACACATAGGTAGTAAGAGCGTAATGCCACTGACTTGGAGTCTGGTTAAGGCCATAAATAGCCTTCTTTAGTTTATACACATAGGTACAATGAAGTTGATCAAGGAAGCCTTGAGGTTAGTGCATGTAGACATTCTCATATAGATCGCCGTGAAGAAATGCGTTGGATTCATCGAGTTGTGGAATTTGCCACTTGTAGGTAGTAGCAATGGTTAGAAAGACTCTAATTGTAGAAAGTTTGACCACTAGACTGAAGGTCTCAAGATAGTCTTTGCCTTCTTGTTGTTTGAACTCCTGAGCCACAAGTAGTGACTTATACCGTGCCACTGACCAATTTGAATTAAATTCGGCCTTGAAGGCCCACCTGCAATAAAAAATGTTAGTGGGATGGGGAGGTACCAATTCCCAAGTCCCTTGATCTTATAAAGCTTGAAATTCACATGACATGGCTTTTCGCCAATGTCCATATTTAATAGCCATAGAGTAGGTGGTGGGATCATTGGAAGTTTGATGAATGAGTGGAGAATGTGGCGAGATTCAAAGCTACGAGTTTTAGTCCTAGTGTGCTTAGGATGAGGTATCGATGCAATAGGTGGGCTGGGTTGAAGAGATAAGAGGGGTTCAATATCAGCTGGAGGAGGCTAAGTGCGGCCAGTAGATGATGAGCGCAAGTCTATTGTAGGAAAAGTATAAGTAGGTTGCAGGGGCAGAGGAGTAGAGATGCGATTATTAAGAGTGGAGGTTGGAGATAAAGCAGTGGAGGGAACTAGTAGTAGGGGAGGTATAGAGGCGCCAGGTTGGGTGTGAGAAGAGTCAGGAGTAAATTTCTTTTGAAAGGGAAAGACGCATTCGTTAAATATAATGTGACAACAGAATTAAATTTTGTTGGCAGACATATCAAGACATCGATAGCCTTTTTGGAAGGGGGCATAACCGGAAAAAACAGATTCTTTGATTAAATGTTTAAGTTTATTTTTAAGATAAGACCGAAGCCAAGGAAAGCATTGACAGCAGAATAACTTTAGGAGTAAGATAAATTTGTAGGTGGTGATAGTGGTTGTTTGTGAAATAATATTTTATAGGGAGATTTGTATTGAAGCTGTTTGGTAGGTACGCGATTAATGAGATAACAGGCAGTGAGCAAAGTGCCAGCCCACAAATGGGTGGGAAAAGAAGCATCAGATAGGAGAGTGCGAACTTTTTCTATAAGGTGGAGATGCTCAGCAACAACGTTTTATTCGGGTGTGCCTGGGCAGGTATATGGTGGTGAATGCCAAATTGAGATAAACAAGTATTGAATTTAGAGTTGCAACATCCGCCTCCACCATTAGTTCTAAGAATTTTTATTCGAGAATTAAGTTAATTTTCAAAAAGACATTAAAATGCTTGAAATTTAGTAAAAGTGTCATCTTTATGTTTAAGCAAATAGAACCTAGTAAATCGAGAAAAATCATCCACAAATATGACATGGTAGTTATAATTTTGATAAGAAGAATTTTGATAAGAAGAAGTGGGAGTAGAACCCCAGACATCGTAGTGAATAATTTGTAGGGGTGAAGTAGCCCTGGTACAAGATGACGAAAAATGAAGTTTCCTACTTTTAGGCTACATGAATTAGACATACTGTAGACTAGAGGCAAAAAATTGTTGAATATGATGGTGGGGGTGCACAAGTCGCCAGTGCCACAGATTTGAAATATGCTAAATGAATATGACAGAAAGATTTGAGGAAACATTGGTGTCTGGTGGGGGAAGTTGAATGGGTTACAACCCTTGAATGCATGGTTCTTTAAGGAAAGTTTTGTTGGTCTGCACATCCTTAATAGAGTAACCGTTAGCGGTAAAAGTAATAATGCAAGAATTTTGATAGTTAATTTATGAACTAAAAGTAAATTGTATGTTAAGTTAGAAACATGACGAATATTTAAGAGCATAAGCTTACGAGTTAGAGTTGGAAGTAGTCATTGACCAATGTGAGTAATGGGAAGTTATTGACCATTGCCAACAAATAGAAACCTTTGTAGTTTTGGATGTTGTGAAGCTGATGTGAGTTAGCGGTGAGATGTTGAGTAGCTCCGTTGTCAAAGATCCACTAATAGTCGAAGTTGGATGTAGAATCTAATATAAGGGCAATAGTAGGCTGATAATTATGATCATGACGGTGCCAACATTTGAATGTAGAGTGCCCAACTTTGCTGCATATCTGATTAGTAATGTTGTTTTTGCGGCAGTTGGATGAGTTCCGAGATCCTTGATAGGGCTGCCCTTTAAAGGAACTGAACTGATTCGTATTGGAGGCAGAATTTGGCTGATTTCAGCTAGATGAGGTCATAGATTGTCCCCTGTTTTTGCTGCGATTAGAAGAAGCCAGCACTGTATTAGTATGAAGAGAAGTAACTTCTTTGAGTGCATCTTAAGCCTAGGTAAGTTCCTCACTACATAGATCTTAAGCCTAGTTAAGTTCCTCACTACATAGAAGGGTATAAAGATCATCAAGCTGATAGGATGGAGGTAAGTGTGAATGGATGTCATGAAGGCATGATAGGTGAAAGGTAGACCACTAAGTGTTTAAAAGATTATATCTTCGGCAGAGAGGAGAACTTTGGCAGTGGCAAGAATATCTACCTTGTAATTGATATCGAAGAGATATTGGGTCATGATTCTATCTCTTTTTGATACATTGTAAAGTTCATTTTTAAGTTTAAGTATGTGAGAACGGTTAAGAGGATTGGAGCCGACGTTCGACAGCGGTCCGAATTTCTGCGCAGTTTTCAAGTTTTAGAAGATAAGGTAGAATGGGTGGTGAAACAAAGGAATAAATGGCAGCAATGAGGTTTTGATCCATAAAGATCCATTTGCTATAATCGGGATTGGGGATATTGATTCCAGAAGAACCTTGAATGAATTTCTTGGGACAGCTGCATGAACCATCAAGAAACACATCATAGCCATTGGCATGGAATAGTTTCAGCACTTGGACTTTCCAAATGAGGTGACTATCAGTTGTAAGAGCAGCGGAGACAACATTTTTAATGTTGCTTAACGAAAATTTCAGTTGGGAGGGATTGAGCGATCAGTGGGAAGAGAATTGCTAGAGTTGGTGGCCATCTCAATGTTGATTGAAAATTTGGAATGATTGCTCATGGGAAAAACAAAGAGAAAAGAAAGTGAAGAAGGGTTTAGAGAGGAAGAGGTAAGCAGATTTCTTCAGATAAAGAAGAATAAGTGTGGGATAGGTGCTGCAATAATAAAGAAGAGAGAGCTGATCTCAACATAGCATTTTGGCTGCAGAGACCAAAGGCAATATCAAAGAAGTTGAAAAAAAAAATGCTGCAAGAAGCTTCAGAGATTTTTGGCCAGAAAGAAATTGAATAATCAAAAGGCAGAAAGGAAGCCAAGAGGTATGCGGAGATCTTGAATACTGGAATAAAATCCAAAGCAGCCATCAGAGGAGATAAGTGAGGTGAAACCACATGTGGGAAGAAATTCAACCGAAGAGTTAGACGGACAATCTAGCCGAGAGAGAAATGAGCAGCAAGTTGTATGAATATTTGTCGAGGGGCGGACTGCCCTGATAGCATGAAAACATAAAGGAAACAGGAAGAAAGCAGAGATAACAAGATTAATTCAAAATATGACAACAAATAAACTGAACCAAGCCTCTCTCCTATGTATAGATAACATAGGATGGCAGCAATGCCGAACCGAATCACAGAGAGTAAAAAACACTAGACCAAATCAGTTCACATGAACCAAACCCAATACAAAATGGAGACGTTAACAAGCTCAAACATGGTTTAAAGCACTAAAGAAATGAGAGCCTTAGGCTGTATGAACCTCCTAGCAAAGCCTTCTGCTTTGATACCACTACTTAAGTTTGAAAACAAAATGCATCGAATTTGGGATAAATACATCAATAATCAAACCCATTTTCAACCCAAAAAATTTTGCTTATGAGTAAAGGTCAACCATTTGATATTTTTACACATATTTTCAACTCTTTGATACAGGGACTAAAGCAAAAGCATAATGTGTTTTACCAAATGGTAGCTACAAAAACTTTAATGCACCTGTGATCATAGATGGTGTAACAATATAGTATTGATTGTTGATGTTTTATTATTGATTAGAATTTTTTCTCGATCCTAGTGATTGGCCCATTAATGTAGACTAATGGGATGAGAAGAGAGAAACAGGGGAATAAAGGGAGAAAAAACAACCACATTCCACTGAAAAGAAGAGATTAAGAAACATCTTGATTCAATTCATTCAACAAGGGTCAAGTAAAAAGTCATCAATTTCCTAAATATAGAAATAGGATACAAGATAATTTCAAAAGCAAAGAAACAAAGATGTAAATTCCAACCTAAACCTACCTACACTAATCTAACATGAATTATAATATGGATGAAAGAACTCTTTTCAAAGAGTAAAAAACGATTTTTTTAATCTAGCAATCTTCATGTACCTTATTGAATGGCGCAAAAATTCCCAAGCTGCCTAATAGAGAAATGATGGCGCCAAACTTAATATATGAGTAGTTTACTCTCGTTGCTCAGTAAAAAATGAAGATTGGCATAATGATTATCAAAATTTTTAACCTTTATTATTCCGTATCATCCTTCTTCGAGCTATTATGGAATTAGATTCAAATTTCACATATAATCATTAGACCATGTCGCATGACATGAAGGGATAACCTTCTATGATGTGACTCTCTGGAGCTTTACTTCAGTAACGACTAAATTAGCATACCAACTGTCATTGCGTTAAGCTTCTCACTTGAATCAGGGTCTTTAAATTTGAGGTTTCTGCAATCATAAGAATTTTGAGCTTTAGCTCTATTTCTATGTAGTCTATTACATTTCTTGTAACTTAATTTTCCTATTCATATTACAGACATATGGGGCCACTACAATCCATGAAATATGGAGCCATTCTGAAAGCAATTTCTCAGTTTTCAAAGAAGCACCAGAACTATGGTAATTCTTAATTTGTTTCAACTTGTGTCATTAACATATTTTCTATACATAAATACACGCATATGTACACACACGCGCAAAGAGAGAGAGGGGTACCTGAGAAGAAAATTTATTCATTGTCTGTTCTCTTTGCTTCCAGGCACTTGAAGCTGCTGATGATGTTAACAATATTATGAAAGCATAGTGCAGCAAGAATTTCTGAGGCTTCAGCTTGTTAATCTGCTTCAATAGATATAATCAGACTGTCTGAACATGAAGCAACTCTACATTATCTCTTTCACTTTTCCTTAACAGCTTATAACTCGTCTCACCAAATTCCGTAGCTTTGTATAATACAGGGACATAATATGATTGGAAATTTTATGCGCCAGTCTTTCATAATTGAGAGACTTACAATTTATTATCTAATTATACTAAATATGTCATAAAGAATGCAGTAATGTGGAATGACTTTTGTACCCTCTACAGGTCAATCTTGAAGGTTCAAGTAAAAACTGCTAGCTTCAATTGTCATGGTTTTCTCTTTCGAATTATAAAAGCAATGATTCTGTTGTAATAGAGGGAGTAATTTTGACACTTATGATTGAATTAATAAAAAAGCTCACTATCACCACTGCTGGTTATATTGCTAAAGCACTCAATATAGCAATCACTTTGCACTGAAACTCAATTTTCTAACTACTGCGTCGTCATTATTAAACTTAAATATTGAATTGCGTTTATGAACTCTTATTCTCCATTAGTTCCTAAAAATCATTCTTTCTCCATTCTGTTTGAAATGAGAACAATGCATTCTATAGCAAAAAATCTGACAGAGGTGAAGGCAGTGCAAAATATCTAATTTCATATTTCTGGAACAAAATTTATCATCAGACAAATCAATAAGGAAACATGCCGCCTGATTAACAATTCAAACTAATGCTCTATTTCTTATCCCTGCAATGAGAGGCATCAGTATCACTAGCTCTGTTCTTATTACCAGCTCCTTGCTGCGCAACTGCTGCCTCTTTATCAACCTTCAGCTCACTGTCGGATGGCGAACACCTAGTCTCATTGGTGGCTATAACCGCTTGATCACCCTTCTGATCCTTCTCTCCGCCTACCTTCATAGAACTCGAGCCAAAAGGGAACTGACGCTGCCAAAAACTCCCCTGATACAACTCCTTATTCGCCGTGAATGACGCTCTGGAGTTACTTCGCAAGGCACTCTTGAGTTCTGCATCCTTAGGTTTTGCCTGATGAAAGTCGATCTCTGAGACTTCTGTAGCTTTGCCAGGCTTCTTGGCTTCTTGATGTTTGTCTTTTTCCTGGTGGATTGAAAGATTGGATACCTCCATCAAATCAGCTTTTGCAATGGATGAACGGCAGGAGGTGATTGCAGTCATGGGAAAAGCCTTCTCAGGAGGCACTGCAGGAGTATAATTAGGTGGGAGAAGGTCGTCCCAATTCTCTAATAATTCTTTGTAAACTTTTCTAAGAGTGACTTCTGTAAGACCGGTTACTTTGCAGATCTCAGCCTGGGTTTTGCGCTTGTCTTCAAGTTGACAAGCAAGGTATATAGCAGCAGCAGATATGCTGATAGGATTTCTACGGGTGCAGAAGCACTTATTGATGACAACTTCTCCAATATGAGCTGCCAGCTCCTGAAAATATATGATTTGAGCGGTATAAAATAGTTGCAATTTTGAATTTGATCTAGAAAATTGTTAGATCATAAGTACCTGAGCAGATTTGTTGAGTTGAAGTAGAGTGCAAAATCTAGGCATGTGAACTGATATTGAATTGCTGTTGATAGGTTGGCTCAATTTCAGAGCTTCACCAAGGATTTTGATGTACTTTCCTATCTCCTTCTGGGGAAGATTACTAGCTGTGGAGATTTCCTATTATCGATATTAAATTCTCGATTAGATGAGGGTATTTCTGAATGATGATACAAGTAAAAAACAATACAATGCAAAATAAAACACTTTAAAATCGTTTAAAATTCAAGGAAAAAAAAAGAGGAGGCACATAATGGCGTGGAAATATAAATGCCATAAAATCAAGCACTTGCCTTACGAAAGCAATTTGAAGCTTGTATAAAGAAATGGCAAAATCCGATTTTAGGGTTTCTAATGCACATCTAGCATGTAACTTAAATTTAGATGAGATAAACCAATGCAACAAGTATGCATCTTCCACGAAAAAGTAAACCATACATGAAAAAGTTTAAATTTTAATTCAAATAAAAATTAAGGATCACAAGATACGCACATGCAATTGAAATTTCATGCAAAGATAGGACATTAGATTGTAGCATACTAGGAAAAATCAATTTCTATTTCAAGCAATAATTTTAAAATAAGGGGGAATTCACATAAATAACACTCAATTTTTATATATTTACATATATAATGCCTTAATCTATATATTTGTATAACAAAATAATCTCTTAATAGCATCAAGAATACCGTTAACTTTAACTTATTTAAAGTGAAATACATAGTCATGTATATGTTTGGTTAAGAATTAGATAGTAGGCTGTTCTATAAGTAAATATAAGGACTTAGGTGTTATACACGTAAATACATAAGAATTGAGTAGTTTGTGTAAATCCCCTAAAATTAAAGAAAAAAAATACAAAAAGAGAGCAAGATAAAAAAAGGGTCACAAAGGTAAGCCTCAAAATTGGTACAAAGAGATAGCCTATCCTAAAACATTCTAAGTCTTACATCTGACCATAATGCAGCCTTGCTTTGACTTATCCCGGCCAAGTAGGAAAGCATATTATGACCCAGATGCACAAATTAACATAAAAAAAAATGCATGATATTAGATATTAATTTTTAAATACAATAAGCTCCAATAATGATAAAAGCTCCACCTCAACACATCAGAAAGCATGCCTGTATGCTAATCATACCAAGGCTTCATTCGAAGTGGCTTATTTTTTTCTGCTTCTGTCATCAAAACTTCTTAAGATCTGTTTTCTCAACCACAATTTCCGTTATGCTTTCCCAAAAGCAACTTTTAGGAAATAAATTCAGAAAATCCAAGGAAAAAATTTCTTAATTTTTTCCACTGGTAAGAAAATATTTTTTATTAATTATTATGTTCCAAACAAAGCCCAAAAGTCATTCCTAAGCAATCCATGGATGGTTATTCCAATAGACTTCGTGATGATTAAAATATGTCATGCTCCTATGAACACTCTATTAAAACCAATATCACATAATTAAGAGCCCTGGCCCCTTGTCTTCAAAAGTAAAAAATACCCGCCGATTCATAACACAAATTAATGAAGTATTCAAGTGTGAACATGTTAATTATTCCTTAATGATCGTGGTCAAGCAATTACACCAATATTTATATTAAGGCATGCACATTCCACACTAATATTTAATCTTCATGCTAACACACCAAATACCAAAAGAGATGTATGGTCACACTATATTGATACTAAGACATCGTTGCGCCTTAAGAGAATGTAGATGCACCCCAACACACACACACACACACACACACTTATACATACATACATACATATGCTTTAATATATACAAATATCAATTCCTATACTTTTGTCAGCCATTTTTTATATTTTTTTGAAAATAAGATTTTAAATTTGAATTTAATATATATATATATATATTTTTAATTTTGTGAAAAATGTATTTTTTTTTAATTTTTGGAAAATGATGACACCGGATATACCTCATATATCTAATAGTATAAATGGTTAAATATAATACCATAAATGACATATCATCCCGAAGGATGAGCGTATCGCTTATTGGTAGGTTTAACTATTTAAACTTAAAAGTTTATGACACTATTTTGGTCTGCAAAATTTATAGCCTCCAAATTTCATTATCTAATATACAGATTAGACGAGGTTTAGATTAATCTGGGTTCTTAATTCTCTATAGAGTCAAACCCCTATAGTTAATTATCTCAGACAACCGAAATCACCTAAGAAACTTCTCGAATAAGATCAGAGTTTCATCTTCAAGAATTCAACGTTTAAGTTTCCATAATTGTTTATAGGAAAATTCAAGTGGGATGAGTTCAAGTAAGAGTAGTTATTTTTGGAATCTAAAGAAACGAAGTACGAGATGTCAAAGATACTGAAGAAGCTTCAATGACATCTCAAACTAACCTATGATTTGCCTTTACATCTTTGAAAAGGAAATTATGTGATGTTTCAGTCTTGTAAATTATTTAGATATTCAGGACTTATGTTTGCATATCATCTGCAAATAACCTGAGAAAATAGAAGGATTTATGTCGTACCGGACAACGATCTCAGAATCCAAAAAAATTTAAGACTTATATCATATGTTATACAGTCGTATGAAGTCCTCAATAATAGTGAGGATTTACGTCGTACCAGACGAACAACCTTGACGTCCTATGGGTGTATATTATTTAAGTCTATTGAAGTTCAATTGGAGCTCCTCTTTCCACCATTCTGTTGTCGCCTCAATCGCTGCCTCATGACTGATCGTCAATTGATGGCTTCACTGTCTCGTTTTACATGTTTACGATGACATTTGTGGTAAGTATACAAGAATATGTGGAAGGTTTGCATATATATCAATCAATTCCTATGTGTTTATGTATTTAACACCTAAACCCCAATTTTAACATTTATGACACTCAAATGATTTATTTTACATAAAAGAGTGTCCTAATAATAAATAACAGAAAGTGATTATGTGTGTGACGTGATAATGGGAAGGTTCACCAACTATCCACACAATTATTAGATGCCTACATATCTCACACCTAAACTTTCATATTCATTCATTTAGTATTCAAATCTTTGATATCATACCAAAAGTAAAGTTATTAGCAACTTTATGGGTGAGATATATTTTTTTATGCATAATCATTAAAGAATAGTGGCTGATTCACATACATACCACTCGACTCTTATGCATTCACATATATCTAACACCACAGCCTTCATACAGTACTAAATCTTTAATATGATATTAAAATATCGTTATTATGAACATTTAAACGAGATATATTATTTAAGCATAGACTAAAATAACAAAGTGTTGTAAATGTAAATATGGAAAAATCTAGCTGTAAGATATGTAGGTACAAAATCTCAAACTTTATTTTTAAGTATTAGATATGTAAATATATTAAGATGAAGATCTGCACATATGAGACTAATAACTAAGTATGAGCATGTAAAAGAATTTGTTTAACTTATTTTTAAAATTTAGGTGTTATAGATGTAGAATACATATGAAGTTGGTGGTATGAATGTATATATATATATATATATATATAATGGTGTAGTAGGTATGTAATTCCCTTAAATAAATATCAATTAAATCATCTCAAATTTATGCAAATAAGAGTTCAACAACAATCCACATATAATGAATCCAACTTCTTTTTTTTTTTGGCTTCTAAAACATCCTTGGTATCCGTTCAGAAGTCCTTGCAAACTCTTTATCAAAACCATTAAAAGCAATTGAAGAGCTGAAACTACCTTTCAAATTAGAAGCACTAGTCCTGATTGAGCTCATAGAACTTGAAGATATTGAGATCATAGAACTTTGAATCATTTCATCAAACAGGATATGGATAATATGAAGATCAAGTAATTGAGAGCTTCCCTCTTCTGCTTTTTGCACTAAAACTATACTGAATTTTTTCTGCATCTCTCATATATACTGAATCTCGCTGGTTGCTACGAGGCGTCGGTGTCCAATCTATTCACTTTGCATACTTACCTCAATTTCACATTCATAATACCCCAAATTTTCATAACATATCAGGAGATCAACTATAGAGCCCTTCAAGCACAGTAGATCAATGCCTATAAAAAGAAATTAAGATTTAGGGTGCTAAATATGTAAACACCCAAAAGTTAAGTCTAATATATGTAGATGCCCCAAGTAGATTTAATTGTCAGCATGTAAAGTTGTCACTAATGTAGATAATATTTTGAGTCTTAATAAAGATGATTAATCCCGCAATTAAACCGAATAATTACATCTTTATAATAAAACATAAACAACCCTGAAAATAAACAAACCTTTGAAATCCACTAACGTAAATAAAATTCGTATATACCACCAAATCGATTCAAATCAAACTTCAAAGCATAAAGGAAATAATCCTTGAGAATTGAATGAGAAGACTTCTTATCACAGGAGATATTCTAAAGTTAAACTTTATAAAGAAATGAACTTATGAATTTTTTTTATCTTAAAATACTTTCCAAATCAAAATTGAAAGTATATTCTTCCATCAAATAAAACGTGCTCAACAATCAAAGCCACGATTTAATCATTGAAAGTAATTTCAACCATAGACTTTGACTGCTACAAAGACTTTCAGGCAATAATATGACTTGAGAAATAAAAGAAGGTGGAGATGAAGACAATTTTTCACTCAAAGAAAAGAATATATAAGAAGAAATGTTAATCCAAATATCCAGAAAGAATTTCAAGCTTAGAGGAATCTAAACAATCCAATCAGTTAACTCTTGAAGAATTAACTTTGGTTTGTCTTATTCTAAAATCTAAAACCCAGAATCATTTCATTCAAGCATTAATGTTTCTAAAAAAAACTTCTCAGTAAAAATCTTATTCAATCGAATTAACTTATTGATAAAGTATGAACGTAATTTCATTTTTCAGGCAAGCAATTATATTCTCAGAAATAGAAGTATGAAAGTAGAAAATAAGATGTATTGCTTCATAAATTTACCAATCAAACATTTGTACGCAAAAAAGACCTTCAAAGAAATGAAACCAAAATTCTTCGTGATTATAAGTAAACAATGAGGAGAATCCTTACCTCCAAATATTTCCAGAAAGTGTAATAGAGCTTAGAAGCAATAAGTAAAAAAAATCTTCAGATCCCGCGAATG